GTGTGTACTGATATATAATATGGCAGTGGCAGGTGTGTACTGCACATAGGCGGCAGTGCAGGTGTGTGCATATATGTATGGCAGTGGCAGGTGTACTGATATATAATGTATGGCAGTAGCAGGTGTGTACTGGTATATAATGTATGGCAGTGACAGGTGTGTACTGATAATGTATGGCAGTGGCAGGTGTGTATGATATATAATGTATGGCAGTGGCAGGTGTGTGCTGATTTATATAATATACGACAGTGACAGGTGTGTACTAGTATATAACTGACAGGTGTGTACTAGTATATAACTGACAGGTGTGTACTAGTATATAACAGTGACAGGTGTGTACTAGTATATAACAGTTACAGGTGTGAACTAGTATATAACTGACAGGTGTGTACTAGTATATAACATTGACAAGTGTGTACTAGTATATAACAGTGACAGGTGTGTACTAGTATATAACATTGACAAGTGTGTACTAGTATATAACATTAACAGATGTGTACAGATATATATAAAGTAATATAAATAGAATATAACATTTTCATAACCGTTATAAGAAAATGACTTTTAATACCGAACTAATGACACGAATAAGACATAAATACAGGACTATAACGTATTAATGTTACTGAACTGTTACCTGAGTATTACCAACAGTAACGGTGACAGGTAATAGAGGAGGTAATACTTTGGTGTAAATCTCTATATATTAACTGATTATTGTAACCTGTCATGACATTGGTGGCAGACATGACATGACAGGTGATATGATATGTTGTGTTTCTTTCTTTCTTTCTTTCTTTCTTTCTTTCTTTCTTTCTTTGTCTCTGTTGTCTGTTGTGTTTCCCTGTTTGCCTGTTTATCACACATATACACACTCTCTCTTTATCTCTGCTTCATGTTTCTCTCTTTGACACACACACACACACACACACACACACACACACACACACACACACACACACACACACACACACACACACACACACACACACACACACGACAAGAAGTTCAAATGTCGTCGATTTTATACTGAGACTTTACCGTAACTAAATATCGTATGGTAATATTTGTAAATCCTCTTTCTCCACCTTCTTTCCTCTTACCTCCTGGTTCTCTCTTCCCTCCTTCATCACCTACTCCCCCTTCCTCCTTCTATTCCTCCATCACCTACTCCTCCTTCCTCCTTCTACTCCTCCATCACCTACTCCCCCTTCCTCCTTCTACTCCTCCATCACCTACTCCCCCTTCCTCCTTCTACTCCTCCATCACCTACTCCTCCTTCCTCCTTCTCTATCTCCTTCCTGCCACCTGTTTCCTCACCCTTCTCCCTCATCATCCTTCACCCTTCTCCCTCCATCTTCCTCCTGCACCCTTCCACTCTTCTTCCATTCTCTCCCCCCTTCCTCCACACCTCCTCCTTGGGTTTTGGTCGAGTCTCACTTCACTTGTGGCGTCATTTTATTATTGTTTTTAATCTCGATGTCGTAGCTAAGGGAGTCACAGCTGGATAAACAAGGATATTTAGTCTCCACAGCTGGTTATTTACGCTTATTTAGTCGTCACAGCTGGTTATATACGCTTATTTAGTCATCACAGCTGGATATATAAGCTTATTTAGTCTCCACAGCTGGTTATTTACGCTTATTTAGTCGTCATAGCTGGTTCAATACGCTTATTTAGTCGTCAAAGCTGGTTATATACGCTTATTTAGTCGTCATAGCTGGTTAAATACGCTTACTTAGTCGTCAAAGCTGGTTATATACGCTTATTTAGTCGCCATAGCTGGTTAATTACGCTTATTTAGTCATCAAAGCTGGTTATTTAAGCATATTTAGTCGTCAAAGCTGGTTATATACGCTTATTTAGTCGCCACAGCTGGATTATAAGCTTATTTAGTCGACTCACCTGGTTATATACGCTTATTTAGTCGCCACAGCTGGATTATAAGCTTATTTAGTCGACTCACCTGGTTATATACGCTTATTTAGTCATCACAGCTGGATATATAAGCTTATTGAGTCGTCAGAGCTGGTTATGTATGCTTATTATATTCATTACAGCTGATTGCAGTAGCTTAATAAAGTCGCCGCAGCTGGTTTTACGCGCTTGTCACCGCAGCTGGTTATAATTACTCAAAGACGTCACCACAGCTGGTTAAGACCGCTCAGGAAAATTAAATCTGTTAAAAATTACAGCGATTTTAATAATGGGACATGAAAATTAAAGTGTGTGTGTGTGTGTGTGTGTGTGTGTGTGTGTGTGTGTGTGTGTGTGTGTGTTTATTTATTTTGTGTGACTAACTAACTGACTGACTGACTGACTGACTGACTGACTGACTGACTGAGGGAACAGTTTGGCCATCCTATACTGAGGTTTGCCATAAGAATAATATCCTTTCAGTCTTGATGCCCGTTAAGAGAGCGGTGGCAGAGTGGATACAACCCTCAGCCCCTTCCCTCCACCTCCTTCTCCCACCTCCTCACTTACCCCCCCCCTCCCTCCCTCCCTCCTCTCCTCCTCCCCTCCCTTCTTCCTCTTCCAATCCCCACTTCATCCTTCCACCTCCTTTTCCCATCTCCTCCTCACTTCCCTCCTCTTCCTCGTTTTCCCTCCTCACTTCCTCCTCTTTCCCTCTTTCCCTCCGCCCCACACAAAAATAAAAGCCGAGGGAAGAAAAAGAAAAAATATCATTCGAGAAGGAACCACAAAACACGACCTTTTTTTTTAATTAAATGTGATGCCAAGTTTACGAGCTTGAGGGGGGTGAGGGGAGGATGGGGGTCAGGGGGGTGAAGAGGGGGAGGGGAGGGAAGAGGGGGAGGGGGGAAGATCCTGGGGAAGATAATGATCCGTGGTTGGTGGTGTAAAGGTGGAAGTCCCTTGTTTATGTGTGTTAGGGTGTTCTTACTGATGAGGTGTACCTGTGAATGACGCTCCTCCTCTCTCACCCTACCTGGTCACCCTCCTGTATCTAACCCTCCCTCCCCCCCATCTCTCCCTCTCTCTCCCTCTTTCTCCCTCCTCTATCCCTGCATCCTTCACTCCCTCTTTTCCTGTTTTTTCCTCCTTCCTTTCATCCATCCCTTCTATCCTGTCCTCTCTTCTCTCCCTTTATCTCTCCCTCTCTACCCTCCATCCCTTCATTACTCCTACCCTTCCTTTCTTCCCTCCATCATTCCTCCCATTACTCCAATCTTCCCTCCCCCCTTCTCTCTCTCTCTCTCCTTTCATCAGTTCCCCCCTTCCCTCCCTCTCTCCCTCTTTGTCCTCCAACCAATTCCCTCCTCCTCTCCCTCTCTCTTTGTCTTTCAATCATCCCCCTGTTCCTCTCTCTCCCTCCCTCTCTCTTTCTCTGTCCTTCATTCACTCCCCTCCTCCTTTACCCCTCCTCTTCCTCCCTGCTCTGTCCTTCAACCAATTCCCTCCCCCTCTCTCTCTCTCTCTCCTTCAATCACTCCCCTCTCCACCCCTCCCTCCTTCCCTAACACCTTCCTCCCCTGTAGTGTCGCGGCCCTGTGGTTAAGACGAGTGAGGTGCGTGTTGTCCACCAGTCCATCACTATCACCCGCTCTGTCTCGCCCTCCTCACCTCAAACAAACTAAAAAAAAAGAAGAATACTCGGAATGTTAAGCTGTAAGTCAAAAAAATTACATTAGGATTACGTTATCATTTGGTGGTTTTGGTGTGCGGGGAGCAGCCATATATATCTTGCTCCCCTTCCTTCAGTGCTATCAGCGCCTTCGTCAGGTGGTGAGGGGAGTATCAGGTAGAGCCAGGCACGACCCGAGGGGAAGGGGAGAGAAAGGGGAAGGGTTCTAGTGTCGTATTATGAGGGGGAGGAGGAGTAGGAGGGTGTGAGGGAGAAGAGTAATATCAGGCACCAACACGGCCGCTTACAGGGATTATATACGATATATTGATCGTCAGTATCAGCATGTGTGAAGCTGTTCAGCAGGCAGGTGGTGTAGGCCTGGGTTGACACAGTGTGGTACTTACCTCCGTCAGGCGATGCGTGGTAGTGTGTGGTCGCATGACATTATGAGGGTGACTGCCGCAGCCCCCGCTCCTCACACACACACAGGTACCTCCTCCTCCTCCTCCTCCTGCTGGTGGTGGTACTACGTCAGGCAACACCAGAAGACCTGCAGTAGTTGACCCGTGATCTCACACGAGTCTTAAGCTTGGAACACGCCAGGTGCAGCGGTCCTCCACTACCAGCGGTCCTCTACTACCAGCGGTCCTCCTCCACCACCAGCGGTCCTCCACCACCACCCCGCCGACTAGTGTCCCTGTGTCGTGCCCGGGGGAATTACCTCACCTCTACTGACCCGAAATTATCATTTCCCGCCACACACTAGGTAGTGATCAATCACAAGTGAGTAGGAGTGAACACTGACAACCTTCGCCCCTCACTAACACTTGACTCAAGTTGTTTATGTTGTGGTGTGGAGAATACGTGAGGTGAGGAACGCACGTGGTGAGGTCCAGAATTAACCACACCGTGTACCACTGCCTCATACCTGCCGCCGTGGTCACTGTACAGGTGATGAAGTGTAATCAATGACGAGTGATTAAGTGAAAAAACCCGGTGAAAGTAATCAACATACCTGGTGTCTTGAGTGGCGTGAAGAGCGGCTGGTCTTACTTAACCATCCTTGTGTAAATTCACTAATCTTGACTTTGTATTACACGCACCACTAGCCTCTGAGTAGCAAGAAAAATATTATTGTTATCAGTAATATTTATCAGTGACTCGTAAATGATCGAACACGATGCATTTGTTTAAGATTCTTCAGCAGCGTCACACCATCTGCACACACTACCTGGACCCACCACCTGCACACACCACCTGCACACACCACCTGGACCCACCACCTGCACACACCACCTTGACACACCACCTGGCTGTTCTACCCGACTCCGCCACCTACCACCTTCAGCCAGCCGCTTCACCTGGACAGCCGACAACACACACATTAGTTACCTTCCCTGTATCGACCTTATCTGAGCCGGGTAGCTGATGGCCCGGAGTAGTTGGTGGCCCAGGGTAGCTGGTGACCCGGGGTAGCTGGTGGCCCGGAGTAGCTGATGGCCCGGAGTAGCTGGTGGCCTGGGGTAGTTGGTGGCCCAGGGTAGCTGGTGACCCGGGGTAGCTGGTGGCCCGGAGTAGCTGGTGGCCTGGGGTAGTTGGTGGCCCAGGGTAGCTGGTGACCTGGTGGCAGTGGCCCGGTAGCTGCCTGGGGTGGTTGGTGGCCCAGGTAGCTAGCTAGTGGCCTGGGGTAGCTGATGGCCCGGAGTAGTTGGTGGCCTGGGGTAGCTGGTGACCCGGGGTTGCTGGTGGCCTGGGGTAGCTGGTGACCCGGGGTTGCTGGTGGCCTGGGTAGCTGGATGGCCCAGGAGTAGTTGGTGGCCTGGGGTAGCTGGTGACCTGGGTAGCTGGTGACCCAGGGTAGCTGGTGGCCTGGAGTAGCTGATGGCCCGGTGTTGGTGGCCTGGGGTGGGTGACCTGGGTAGCTGGTGACCCGGGGTTGCTGGTGGCCCGGGTAGCTGGTGGCCTGGGGTAGCTGGTGACCCGGGTTGCTGGTGGCCTGGGGTAGCTGGTGGCCTGGAGTAGCTGATGGCCCGGAGTAGTTGGTGGCCTGGGGTGGCTGGTGACCTGGGGTGACTGGTGACCCGGGGTTGCTGGTGCCTGGGGTGACCCGGGGTTGCTGGTGGCCTGGGGTAGCTGGTGGCCTGGGGTAGCTGGTGGCCCGGAATAGCTGGTGGCCCCTGGTAGCTGGTGGCCCAGGGTGGCTGGTGACCCAGGGTGGCTGACCCAGTGGTGGGGGCTGGTGACCCAGGGTAGCTGATGGCCCAGTAGTTCCCAGGGTAGCTGGTGACCCGGGGTAGCTGGTGGCTCCAGAGCAGTTGGTGGCCAGGAATAGCTGGTGGCCGGAGTAGCTGGTGGCCTGGGGTAGCTGGTGGCCTGGGAAGCTGGTTGCTCGGAGTAGCTGGTGGCCCATAGTAGCTGATGGCCCGGGTTGCTGGTGGCCCAGGGTGGCTGGTGGCCCGATGTGGCTAGTTGCTGGTGGCTGGTGGCCCTGAGTAGCTGGTGGCCCTGGTAGCTGGTGGCCCGGAGTAGTTGGTGGCCCAGGGTAGCTGGTGGCCCAGGGTAGCTGGTGACCCAGGTAGCTGGATGGCCCGGAGTAGCGTTGGTGGCCCAGGGTACTGACCCGGGGTAGCTGGTGGCCCAGAGCAGTTGGTGGCCGGAATAGCTGGTGGCCCGAGTAGCTGGTGGCCTGGGGTAGCTGGTGGCCTGGGAAGCTGGTTGCTCGAGTAGCGTGGCCCATAGTAGCTGATGCCCGGAGTTGCTGGTGGCCCAGGGTAGCTGGTGGCCCGATGTAGCTGGTTGCCCTGAGTAGCTGGTGGCCCTGAGTAGCTGGTGGCCGGGTAGCTGGTGGCCCTGAGTCGCTGGTGGTCCGTAGTCTCCTGAACCACCCATCACTGTGGCCAACTTATGTACCATTACGACCATAATGACGAGGAGAGGAAGAATGTCAGGAAAGAAATCGATCATTGCTTTTAGTGGTGGTGAGGGGTCCTAGTGGGGGTAAGGGATGTGGTGAGGTGTGAGGGATGTGGGGGTAAGGGATGTGTGTGGGGGGGTAAGGATGTGTGTGTGGGGGTAAGGGATGTGTGTGAGGTGTGAGGGATGTGGGGGGTAAGGGATGTGTGTGTGGGGGTAAGGGATGTGTGTGTGGGGGGTAAGGGATGTGTGTGAGGTGTGAGGGATGTGTGGGGGTAAGGGATGTGTGTGTGGGGTAAGGGATGTGTGTGTGGGGGAAGGATGTGTGTGAGGTGTGAGGGATGTGTGGGGGTAAGGATGTGTGTGTGGGTAAGGATGTGTGTGTGGGGGTAAGGGATGTGTGTTGGGGGTAAGGGATGTGTGGAGGTGTGAGGGATGTGTGGGGTGTAAGGATGTGTGTGAGGTGTGAGGGATGTGGGGGTAAGGGATGTGTGTGTGGGTGTAGGGATGTGTGTGTGAGGTGTGAGGGATGTGTGGGGGTAAGGGATGTGTGTGTGGGGGTATGGGATGTGTGTGTGGAGGGTGTGTGAGGGGTGTGTGTGGGGGGTAAGGGATGTGTGGGGGTAAGGGATGTGTGTGGGGGTGGGGGATGCTTGGGGGGTGAGGGATGTGTGGGGGTGTGAGGGGATGTGGGGGTAAGGATGTGTGTGGGGTGGGGATGTGTGGGGTAAGGGATGTGTGTGGTGGTGAGGTCCAGTGTTGGGGTAGGGTGTAGGGGGTAGGATGTGTGAGGGATGTGTGGGGTAAGGGATGTGTGGTGGTGAAGGGTCCTAGTGTGGGGGTAGGGTGTGTGGGGGTAAGGGATGTGTGTGAGGTGTGAGGGATGGGGTAATGGATGCTTGGGAGTGAGGGATGTGTGTGTGGGTGAGGGATGTGTGGGGTTAGGGGTATATGGGGGTAAGAGATGTGTGTGTGGGTGGGGATGTGTGTGAGGG